GCTGATCCTACCATGCCCCAGTCAAAGCGCCACAAGATTCATGTTCATTAAAATAAACAAAATTCAGTAAACAAATGCTTTGGCTAAATGGTGCCTTCAGTACACTGAGAACAAGAATGCAATTAGCTGGAGTGTTTACGAAATTTTAATCCAGGGGACTGGGCTCTCAAATTGCTGTTTACATTTGTTTAGCTGCTTCCATTGCCAAGAATAAGTAATTTTGTAAAGCTTGGAGGCGTCACATACAGCAGAGTCGCTAAGTGTTCTGCAGAACATCTGAATAAACCCAAACAGCTCACTTTCCTCTCAGATGTCACAGGTTGGCACCGTTCTCTCTACCGCATGCTTTCCGCATTATACGCATTCAAATCCATCCACAATGGACTCAAAATATAATAGGGCATGATCCTCAAAACATGATTTTTCAACTTTGTTTTACTCAGCCAGAGGCCCCTCCTATTTGCACAGGAACAGCACACATTTAATGGAAAATGTGGAACGTTTCTAAACAGTGTTTTGAAAAGGAGCAAAATAGAAACAGAAGTTTGAAATACAATTTGAGGGGAATTCTTCAAATATACAGTGGTACCTCGAGTTACAAACGCTTTGGGTTACAGACTCCGCTAACCAGGAAGTAGTACCTCGGGTTAAGAACTTTACCCTCAGGGTGAGAACAGAAATTGCGCACTGGCGGCGCGGCGGCAGCGGGAGGCCCCATTAGCTAAAGTGGTACCTCAGGTTAAGAATGGTTTCAGGTTAAGAACGGACCTCTGGAACAAATTAAGTTCGTAACCAGAGGTGCCACTGTACTTCTATTTTGCCCTTATCCAGTTTATCCTCTCTGTGATACACTGCTGTCCAGCTTATCTTGCTCACGATTATGCAGTCAAGCATGAAAACAAAGTGTTTCTTTAGCATCACACTTTCATCACAACCCTCTCTTATTCCATGCTAGGGAAGCCACAATTCACAATCTCTGCACGTTGAATCAACCCAGAAATCAAGGAACCTCCTTGGTTGGAAGGAGGCCCCTGTGCTCCCTTCCCTGCCAAAATTCCAGAGCCGATCACAGCATCTGGGGTGGCCTCTGCAAGGCATTCTTGTCACGCTAAAACAGACCAAGCATGGCTGATCTCTCTGCGCATGCCAGAAACCCTGTGAGACAGCAAGGGAGCACTGTTTTCACGGATCTCATGCAGTATTGCTGGGCTTTGTGCTTAGGAGAGACAGTGTGGTGTAGTGGTTAAGAGCGGTGGACTCGTAATCTGGTGAACCGGGTTCGCTTCCCCGCTCCTCCACCTGCAGCAGCCGAGTGACCTTGGACTAGTCACATTTCTCTGAAGTCTCTCAGCCCCACTCACCTCACAGAGTGTTTGTTGTGGGGGAGGAAGGAAAAGGAGAATGTGAGCCGCTTTGAGACTCCTTCGGGTAGTGATAAAGCAGGGTATCAAATCCAAACTCTTCTCTTCAAACTCCCTAGGATGCTTGTCCCAGTGATGGCCCTGGTGTGTCATAGAACCTGCATCCCATGCCTCCAACCTTCAGTGTCTAAACAAGGCAGATTTTTACCACCTCTTTTTATGCTTGAGACCACAAACAAGCAGGGTGGTAATCTAGTGTGGTCCAAGGATGTTCCTAGGCTTTGATAGGCTCCCTTTCTGCATGGGATTATATTTGCCTGTAGTAGAATTATTCATCTGCAGCTTATTAGTTCTGCAGTGTTCATAGACACACAACAGACATCTCTGTTTTCACCAGACGGTTGTCATCAAGCTTCCTAGAGGCCAAATGTCAAGAATCTACCTGCACTGCTTCCTCTAAAAAGAAAAGAGCTACCGCATATCATTATATTCAAAGTAATGATTATGAAAAGCAATTCAATTGTTAGATTTTTCAATGTAAACTATTATCAAAAGTCTAAAACAAACCCTCCGTTAATGAGCGAGATTTCCTAGAAGATGCAGGAATTCTGTAACTATTTCAATTATTTAACTGTCTGCATCAAAATCTATATGGCACGGTAGACCGTGTGTGACAGCAGCACTTAGAGAATATAAAAACCCTACAAGTTTTCAGAAATATTAACTATCATGTCAAGCTTAATATAGCTTAGAGTGAGATTTAAACCCTTTAGAAGTATCAACAGCTCCTACCTCTAGATTATTAAATATGAGAGCAAGAGAAGGGAATTGGATTATAATAACATGAAGCTATTTGAGATGATAGCTTTGGGAATGTGTTATTTTCACTGCAGGCCAAATGAAAGACGCAATGCTAAAGATGAATGAAATATGAATTATTCCAACTGGAAGTGGAATTTAACTTGCAAAATATTCTTGAAGGACAATTGAGACAAGTGCTGCAACTAAGATACACAATTCAACAGGGCATACTTTGAGGGAACATGAGGGTTAATTAACAAGTTAAACGAAATAAAGTAATTTCTGCTATTGAAACGCAAAGGATGGTTGGAACCTCTCTATACCTGCAACGGTGGAAATAAACAACTGGCAGAATATAAAGCATGAATGTGATGGATTATCTTCCTCCCCAACCCCGCCCTCAAGGAACAGAAGCTCAGGTACTGGAGAGGGAGAGGTAAGTGGAATGCTCACTCATGCTTGAAAGAGATTTTCTAAACCCAAAATGGGTGTCTGGTGTTCTTCTAAGCACAGTATTGGCCACAACTTTCAGAGCTTCAAACAGAGATCTAATACCACGCAGAGCAAAGGATTTCGTTTGTTTACTCATGGAATTTATAGACCACTTAAATCATAATTAGCATTTCTAAGCTGTGTGCATAAAAATAAACCATGCAGAGAAAAATAAAATAAAATTCTATCATAAACCTGAACACAAAATCCCCAAAAACCTACCGGAACAAGAAAATATTTTCCATATGCCTGAAGTTCAGCAAGGAGTTTGCATGTTTAATCTCTGCTGGCAGGGAATTCTACAGGCTTGGGCCCATGCTACAAAATGCATGGCTTCTCGTAGATACGAGACATCCGTCTGAGCCGGGGGGACCACCAACAGAGACCCCCCTCCCCCCAGGATCTCAGTGTTGTTAAGAGCCTTGTAAGTTGATGCAAGAACCTAGAACCTGGCCTCATAGCATATGGGCAGCCAGGACAAGCTTTTGAGCACCAGAGGGGTGTGCTGGCAATAATCTGTCTCTATTAACACTCTAGCTGTGGCATTCTGCACCAGCTGGAACTTCCGGACCAAGCACCCTGTCAATGGGATCCCGTACAGCTTCAAATATGTGTGGTTCTTTCATTCCCATTTTAAAGCTACACTTCAGATATGCAGTAGTCAAAAGTGACCCAGATCACTCTACCAGCTCAACTCTTCAGGGCCTGCCGAGTTCATATAGGATGCCCCATGGGGACAATGTGCTGTGCTCCACTCACAGTATGTCTTGATTTACGGAACAGGAAATAGAGAGAGATTTGGCCTCAGTAAGAATGCGCTGTGTCTGATGCTGAGTTACCTGCAAGCAGGTATGGCAGGGCGCTGGATTGCATCGAAGAATCTATCCCACTTCTGTCCTAGGTTGGGACCATAGGTCTGCCTCCATTGCTCTTTTTATTAGGATGTTGTTGTTATTGTTGTTGTTGAGGGGGAGGAGGGGGAGATGCAGTAGTACTAGTAGAAGTATCACCACCACCCATCCTTCATCTAAGGTGGTCAGGGTGCATCCTTCTTCCTCCTGCCCTCTTTATCCTTACAACTCTAAGCTAGCTGGAACCACAAAGCTGCTGTTCAGTGAGCTTCAGGGTTTTCATGGTGCTTTTCATGGCTTCGGTTTTATACGGCTCTTAAACCATCTCGTGGATTCCAAAGGATGGAGAGGAAATGCATAAATATGTCAGCCTGAGCAAATGGAATTCATAGTCACAAGCTGTGGTGGCCACTACATTACAGAGTTTTAAAAGAGGATTAGACAGATTCATGGAGGGCAAAGGTGTCAATCACGGGATATTAGGCATGCGGCCAAAATGGCATAGTGGTTAGAGTATTGGACTAGGATCTGAGAAACCAGGGTCTGAATCCCCACTTGGTCAGGAAGCTCGATGGGTGACCTTGGGCCAGCCATGGCCTCTCAGCCTAAAGCCACCTCACAGGGTTGTTGTGGGAATTAAATGACAAGGGGGGGAACCAGGGGTCCAGAGGTGCTTTATACCACCTTAGGTTGCTACACAATCTATAACCTTGTCTGAAGATGCACTGATGACACCCAGGCTAGGCAACTATAACACACTCTAAACTGGTACAAAAAGTGACTTTCTCTCTCTCTCTCTCTCTCTCTCTCACACACACACACACACACACACACACACACCTACCTGCATCTGGTGACAAGTGCATGTCTGGGCCCAACTCAAAGTCCTGGTGATTACCTTTGAGACCTAGCACAGATTAGTGCAAGGTTCCCTGAAGAACCACCCGCATCCATATAAACCTTAAAATCTGATTCTGAAATCCTGTTGAGTTGCCCACATCCTAAGATGTGGTTTGGCAGCAGCGAGTGTGTAAATAATAATACTAATAATAAGAAAATTTTATTCGTACCCCGCCCTCCCAGGCCGGAGCCAGGCTCAAGGCGGCTAACATCATAAAACTAACACAGTATACAAAGAACATAAGAACATAAAAACAGGCAGTCAATTAATTAAAATACATCTTAAAATTAGTTCAGAGCAAATTAAAATCTGGACAGATGGCAGTCCACGGGTAAAATTGAGGTGTCTTCATTGATACTAAGCTGAATACAAAGCAGCAGTGTGATGAGGCTGCTTAGAAGAAAGCTAGCCCTGTGTGTGCCCTGACTGCTTGTCCTCCGATTCTGCCTGAGATTCCTATTCCAGGACTTTGGCACCTCCCTCTCTCCTTATCTCCTTCCTACTCATTGTCTTCCCCTGCCTCTCCAGGAATAGTCATCTCTGCACCCAGAAACCAGCCACAGCACTTACCTCTCTGCTCTCATTTCCTGAATCATACAGATAGCTCAATCAGTACAGCATGAGACCCCTAGATCTCCGGGTGGTGGGTTCAAGCCCCACGTTGGACGAAAGATTCCTGCCTTGCAGGGGGTTGGACTAGGTGACTTCCAACTCTGCAGTTCTATGATTCTATGGCCAGCTCTGTCACTTGCAGTTGTATTTGTCCATGGAGATTTCTTGGACTGCAAGAAGATCAAACCTCTCCATTCTTAAGGAAACCAGCCCTGAGTGTTCACTGGAAGGACAGATCCTGAAGCTGAGGCTCCAAGACTTTGGCCACCTCATGAGAAGAGAAGACTCCCTGGAAAAGATCCTGATACTGGGAAAGATGGAGGGCACAAGGAGAAGAGGACGGCAGAGGACGAGATGGTGGGTCAGTGTTCTCGAAGCTACCAGCATGAGTTTGACCAAACTGCGGGAGGCAGTGGAAGACAGGAGTGCCTGGTGTGCTCCAGGGGTTCACGAAGAGGTGGACACGACCGAACGACTCAACAACAACAACAACAAAATCACTTGCAGTCACCCAAAGGTCTCCTGATCCCTGAAAAAGCTCCGCCTATTTCCCTTTGGCTGCCCATGATGCCTGGAACTGCCTCCAAGCGTGCCTCTGTGCAACCACCTCTCTTATGCCCTTGAAGACCCTCTCCAAAACTCACCTTTTCTGGGAAGCCTTTGAGTCATCCCCCCCCCCAAGTCCCTATTGTAACATTGCCAAAGTGCTGTTTGTATACAGTACAAAAATGCAGACTTTTCCAGGTATCTCCCAATATGTAAGCAAAAAGCATTGAAAAGAATTATGGTTGGATGTACAAGATGAAAACTATAAAATCAGTATAGGTAGTGCGATACGATTAAGTTCATGGCTTTCCAAAACTATTTCGCAGCAGTTAAATCCAGCTAGAATAAATGCTGTAATTACCTGAATTTGTTCTTCAGCTGCTAAAAATCCATATATCTTTTCTGCAGATTACCGAATTCAGCATTTCTGAGGGGGAAAGAGAGAAGAAATAATTATGCTTACACGCGCTAGTCTCCAAGAAATTATCGCAAAGTATAGAGCAGTCTTTTCATGCTTGTCTGTAAAACAGCTGGGCCAACTGTATCATGCGCAATCATACTATATGCAAGGGTTTAATGCGAATAATTGAGGCATGACAATGGGAGTTTCGTGAGCATTAGCTTTCCTACTGGGTTCGAGCGGGATGGAAAATGCATTCCTGGGTGCTGCTCTCTGTTGTCAACAGTCCCTTTGGGAGGGTGGAAGAGTTCCTTGATGGGTCACAGCAGTCCAATACAGCCCAAGAGCAGTGGCGGACCTTGGGATCTTAAATTCTAGCAGTGTCCTGCACAATGCCAAAATCTGGCTCGCACACAAACCTCTCACCTTCTATTCTTCATCACAGTTGTGGCACTGGTCTACTGCCCTTAGTATCGCAAGATCGTCATGAGAGCACTTGGACTAAAATGGTCAACCAAAAGCTTTACTTTTCTGGTTTATCACCACAACAGTTATTAACACTGGGCTTCAGTAAAGCAAATAGTTTAATTAGACAGGGCCTATATGATATCAAGCGACAGAATAACTTGGCCACAATAAGGAAATTTTGTCCATGGTATGATTATTTCCCACCTAGTCATTTTGACGCTTTGGCACCCTATTTGCAAAATTTAACCATTCCAAAATACAGGTGTGCTTTCACTCTCACAAGATTGAATATACTGCCTTCGGCTGTACTTGAGGGTCGATTTCAAAAAATTCCTCCGGGAAAACGGTTATGTCCCTGTGGAGATGGCAGCATTGAGTCAGTGGCTCATGTGCCTCTGGCCTGCACTCTTTCTGAAGATTTGAGGAGTGAGGTGATTATCCCTCTATTATTGTCCATTCCGGGTCGCTCAACCATTGCTACTGTGTCCTTTCTTTGAGCAGATCAAGATGATCAGGTGACAGCAAAAACAGCAAGGTTTTCAGCAAGGGCAATTGGAATAATATACTGTATTTTTTGCTCTATAAGACTCACTTTTTCCCTCCTAAAAAGTAAGGGGCAATGTGTGTGCGTCTTATGGAGCGAATGCAGGCTGCGCAGCTATCCCAGAAGCCAGAACAGCAAGAGGGATTGCTGCTTTCGCTGCACAGCGATCCCTCTTGCTGTTCTGGCTTCTGAGATTCAGAATATTTTTTTCTTGTTTTCCTCCTCCAAAAACTAGGTGCGTCTTGTGGTCTGGTGCATCTTATAGAGCGAAAAATATGGTATGTTATTTGATTACTGATGAACACCCCCCCAAAAATGTATTTTCTATAGTTGTTTTTACCTCTGTCTTCAGTACATTCTATTTTATTTTATTGCTACGGCTAGTGGCTGATGCAAATAAAGATTATTTCAACCTCAACCAACCTAGTTGTGACACCCTCTGCAGCTCGCTCAAGGCTCCACACCCAGTGCGCTCCCCTAAACCCGCCTCTGCTAAAAGGCTTACACACATATATGAACCAGGCCAGAGCGCCTTATTTGTGGTATTTTCAATTTTTTTGTCCCAGTGGACTAAATCCCCATTTTCATTCAGAATTTTACGAGATTCCGTTCCATATCCAGAGCGCATTTCAGAAAGGAAGGAGGAAGATCTGCACGGAGGTGCATAACGAAAGCTTTTAGCCTTTGTGAAAATTTTCAGATCATAAAATATTAAAAGCCCCAGCAACTTAACCTCCAGCAAGAGTTACAAACAACTGCCTGCATCTCAGGATATGGATTATATCAACTGACCATTATAAAAACATTAGCGTCTACCATTATGGCCATGTATCACAGTAGCGTACATGATGCCACATAACTGTCTAAAATGGTATATTGCGGCAGCACAATAAAAAGGCTTGACATTTAGCAGCACAGAGGCAGAGGATTTTTGCATAGCTTCGTGCAACTACTTGCGGGGTGGCGGGGAAGGAGGCAGAGGGAGAGAAACCGGTTGATTGGGTATATGCGTCTGAAGAAAGCAGCTAGGCTCCCAATCTAGGCTTTGCATGGTGTTAGCTGATAATGAATCAGGGGTAGATGGATTGCCTGTCCTCCTTTCAACACTTCTGTGTTACAAGAAAACAACAGCTCATTTCCCTAACCCTAGAATTACTTGGAACTCTTCCAAGGCCACTTTGCCCTCAGCGATTCGTGCTCTACTTCCATCTCTTCCTTCCTCAAAGGCTTAACTGCTTTCAGATTTGCTTTGTGGATGTACAAAGAGCTTAAAAGCTTGTTCTGACAGCAAGCCCTTTGGGTTCATCTCAAAACAAATTTACTTCTGTCAGAGGCAATGTAAAATATATTTTGCTGTAATTTAAAATAAATTTGTTAAGGAAATTTTTTTTAGAGCAAATTTCTCCTCGGGTCCACAGAGCAAATTGCATTTTATTGAAAAGAATCCGAACTGCAATTTTGCAAAACAGAGACATTTGCGCTGGGAGATTTATTTCTTAAAAGAACTCTGCTGTGTATGCACAGCCTTGCAGTAAGCACAAATCTACTTGTGTAAGACAACTTGGTCACTGATTCCTGTTGAATGGCATTCCTCGTAATTGTCCACGGAGCGTCTCTTGGCTCTGTTTCTTTTGTTTTGCACTATCCTGGAAAACCAGGAGTATCTCAGAATACGAGCAGGGATAATTCACTTCCATTTCCATGGAGCACAGGTGCTGAAAGCCAAATTGGCCAATGGGGGCAGCAATCTTTTCACACACCCAAGAGAGTCCATGGGGATGACATTACCTTATGGTGAAGCATAGTTCCCATGGGGGCATTCTGTCCCAGATTGAAAGAAAACATCACTGGGAAACTGAGGATAGCCAAGTCGCTGCTTTTAGTTGCATGGGGGGGTGGTCTTAAAAGGGAGCATGGATAGACTTGTCTTCATTTTTTTTTTTTTATAGTTGATATTTATTGAATTTTCAAAAAATAACAACAAAAATTTCCAAAAGAAAAATTTAAGGATACAAAAAACAAAATTAGTGCATAAACAAAAAAGAAAAGAAAACCCAGCCGCAAAAAAAAAAGAGAAACAGAAAAACAAAAATATAAAGTCCTTTACAATCTCTATTGACTTCCTTTCTAGACTTCCTCCTCCTCCCCTCTTTTGTTTCTTAGTTTTTAATTTTTACAGCAAATCCTTTCTGTTTTTTCATAACAATCTGTCATTACATTTCCTTATTCTATTTTCCCTCTTGTCATATAAAAACTTTAAAACTCATAGCTTATATTCAATATTTACCAAATTCTTGCATCATTACCTTTTTACGAATCATTTACCAATCCTTACTTAAGTCATGTAATTTCATTCAACATCCTTCAAACATTTGTAAGCATTCCCAATATTAAAAAGTAGAAAAGAAAAAATAATAAGTCAAATTCAGTCCAGTCAGCTTCCAACCTCCCTCCCTTGACCCGGGATTGTCAGTCCTTTTAACCTCGGTAATCCGGCTCCTTAACCTGGTTGTCTCGTATCCGAGGCCCTCAAGTCTCTTTCTTGCCCCTTTCGCCACTCTTGTTTATGATTCCTTTCCAGTCGTGGATGCTCCAGCAAGAAAATGCTTTTGACCCTTTGCAACAAGTCCATCCCAAACCCATTGCCCAAGCCAGACAGCAAATAATACCACTTCAAATTTCCACAAAGCTTGGAGACTTCGGCTACTCCAATCCTCTGATAGCCCATCACCAGACTCGGAAGGTCCAAATAACCATATGGAGGGGGTCGATCCATCCCCCCTTTCCAAATCTGACCACATTTCATCTTTCCGAATCTGGTTTGTCCCAAGTTCATTTGTCAAGTTCAAAGGCTGATCTTGCCCGTCCAAAGGTCCCTCCATCTCTGAAGCCTCCGTCACTACAGCAGGTTCATATGCTTGTATAGCCTTTAACTGAATTTCATTTGTTTGCTGCTGTGCTCTGGTAACTTCCATCATCAAGGTCGTCTCCTGACGCATCTGGTCCAGCTGGGCACTTAGTTTTGAAAAACCTTCCAGGAACAATTGTTCAAGCCTTTGTACTAGCATTGTCCTTCAAGGTCAAAGAAAATTCTTTCC